TACTGGCATTTTTTTCCCCCAGGGCCCCCACATGACTATCATCGTCCCATTTCAGCAGGAAGTTGCATAGAAGATGCCACGCCCCCATTCCCCATTATTGTTTATTAGGGTAGTGTAAGCCTAGTTAAGAATGACCTTCTTATTGTTTAGAGTCGGGATTGGAAGAATGTGTTCAAGTTAGACACCTTTTCCACATGACTTTAAGACTTAGATGGAATAGACATAGGATGTGTCATAGCAGATTATTGTATCTTCTTGTATTTCACCTTTATGATTATTAGTTTTGGATATTTTACACCATTAAGTTTTAATCCTCTTTTAGACTAAAAGGGGAATTGTAGGGAGACACCCTAGCCCCGCCCACTAGTCATGGGACAGGTTCCAGGCAGACCCGGAACTCGCCCATAAGGGCGTGGTGAAGGAAATCCGGTGTGAGGTAAGGGAGCTTTTTAAGGGCTGCACCGGAAGACCCTAGCCCTTTCCTGGCCGCGCTTGCTGGGTTCCTGTAACCTCACTCTGGTCTGTGTCTTGCCCTGGTGTTTTCTTGAATAAAGAGACTTCATCATCCCGATCACAGTTCATCTTTGGCACACGCTCCAACCCATATTCTTCATGTATGTGTATGTATGTGTGTGTGTATGACCACACATGTGAGTATAGTTGTCCACAGATCCCAAAGTTATCAGATTCCCTGGAGATACGGGTTGCCATGAGTCACCCAAACTGAGTACTTGGTATTGAACTCAGGTCCTCCACATGACCAGTATGTGCTCTTATTACTGAGCCAACTATCCAACTTTATTTTCTGGTTATCTCAATCATTGCTCTTATATAGGCACTTGTCATCATGTCACTATCAGATTTCATCTATATTCAAGTTAGTAAAAATCTAGGAATACTAAACATCAGGAAGAAAACAGCAAATGGCACTCAGGTCACAACATTGTGACCGGTTGTAACAGTCATTTACACCTTCAGTGATAACTTATAACCCACCATACTTTAAGTTCCCCTGGACAGAAACCATGCTTTATAAGTTTTTATATCTCCACTTTATAGAACAATCTGATACTCAGTGAACGGTTTTTGAATGAATCCGAAAATCTCAATCTATAATCCTGGTGTGTATTACGAGTTTCTCATGGATAGGATTAAATTCTAAGTATAAAAACAGGACTATCGTAATCTGATATCATAGCTAATTCAGACATGACTTGGTAGTACTATTCTAGAAATGCGAAGGATGCTGCTGCAAGGAGTAGTGTGATTTTTGCATGTTGAGGACAGTGTTTTTGTTTGTTTGTTGTCTATTTGTTTTGTCTTGTTTGGTTTTTAGAAAAATAAAGAGGATTTTCTTTTCAAAGCTGCTGTACCTGGTGGCTGTACACTGCCAAAACAGTTTCATGTCAACCCAGTTTCATGAGAAACGTTGTCTTTGACAGACATTCTCCAGGATTAAAATGAACTATACTATATAACCAAATACATCAGGTCAGCTCATTTAGCTGTTTGAATGCATATTTTTCATTTAACTTCTCCACTGGGGCCATCAAGTACAATTCTACTAAAAAAAAGAATCTAGCAATCACTATAGAACTGCATGGTTTTTAAGTTCCATGTGGCCACTGAGTAACATTTGGAGTGCTTGTCTCTTAGGAACTGTTTCTCTTTCTTAATTGGGGTTTCTTTTGTTGTAAAGAGACACCATGGTCACTGCAACTCTTAAAAAGGAAAAACATTTAATTGATGTGGGAGCTGACAGTTTCAGAGGTTTAGTCCACGATCATAATGATGGGACTTGGTAGCATGCAGGCAGACAGTGCTGGAGAGGTGGCTGAGAGTCTTATTTTGCAGGCAATGGGAAGTGGTTTATCTCACTGGGGGTAGCTTGAGCATATATGAGACCCCAAAGACCACTTCCACAGGGACACACTTCCTCCAACAAGGCCATACCTTCTCCAAAAAAGGCAAACCTCTTAATGATTCCCACTCCCTTTGGGGGCCATTCTCTTTGAAACCACCACATCCTCCTTTGGATTCATAGAGAAACTCATATTTGACACCATTTTTGTATCAAGGATCTGTGGCCAAAAAGGACATACAACCTAGGGGAGAACTTACTGGTATTTTCTGCTAAATGACTATTGTATTAAATGAACTCTTAATGACTTAGAGATATACCCATAGATTAGAGCATCTCTCAGCTTTTGCAGCTGATAGTGACAAACTTAGAGACCCACAATTAACCAAAGTACAGTGTATAAACAATGCCACGAGGTTGTGGCACATGTCTTTAATCCCAACACTGGTGAGGCATGGGCAGGCAGATCTCTGAGAGTTGGAGGCTAGCCTGGTCTACAAAGTGAGTTCCAAGAAAAGCTCTAAAGATACACAGGGAAACCCTGTCTTGAAAAAATTCAAAAAATGGGACATCTGTATCACATACCATCCTTCCAAGGCTCAGATTGTTGTTGAACACAGTGAGTAAGAGCCAGAGGTGGTAGATAAATACAAGGAAGCTGTGTGCTTCATTTGTACATATGGACTCCCAGGGATTGTGACAGCATGTAAAAGCTCCATGAAAGCTCAAGCTAGATCAAATCTCAGTGTAGAGAAGAGGTAAACATGGAGGCCCGCCCCTAGCTGGGGAGCTATTAGCAATTGATACTGTTGGAAGAAGGAGAGTCCTTTTTTTTTTTAAATAAGAATATTGCTTTTGGTAAGTCTACCTTACTCCAGTGGAAGGCTACATATCCAAGGATGGATAGAAAGATAGTTCAGAGATAAAGAGCACTGGCTAGGGGCTGGAGAGTTGGCTCAGTGGTTAAGGGCACTGACTGCTCTTCCTAGAGGACTCAGGTTCAATTCCCAGCACCCACATGACAGCTCACAGCTGTCTGTAACTAACTCCAGTTCCTGGGGATCCCAACACCTATGGCAAAACACCAATGCACATTAAATAGGAATTAAATAGGAATTAATAGGAAAGAGAATTAAATAGAATTAAATAGGAATTAATAAGAAAGAATTTTTTCAACATCCAAAGCTTTTTCTTTTTAAATAACAGTAAGATCCAGGGTTAATTTTTGTAGCTGCGGCTGGCCCTTCGGCCTCTGGCACGTTCGAACTTCTGGCCTTTGGAGCGGACACAGGGTTTGGTATGGCAGTGTGGGGTTCCTAGGGCCTTGCCAAAATGCCGGTATACCTCTTGGTTCTTCCAAGGACTAGACAAGAGCACAGTGCCACGACCCTTGGGAGACTCCAGGGCTAGCTGGTCAAAAGTGAGGATCATGCCCCGAGCCTTCAGGATGCGACTTCGGCCTGGCTGCTCAGCCGCATAGCACACACCTTCAGCTTGGGCACTTCGAGAATCTGCACATCATTTGTGGCAGTCCCTACAACCACAGCTGTATTGTTTTCTCAGCCAGGAAGCTTCATCTTTCGGATCATTAGGTTAGTGCGATTCATAACCTTTTCAGCACAACTGACTGAAGGTGGAGTTGGTTCTTCTGGCCAGAAACCTGCACAGCTTGACTAGCAGCCAGGTAGATGTCCTGGCTCTTGGTCTCCTTGCGCTGAACCTTTCGGTCCTTGTTGTGTCGAATGTCAACACCCATGATGGACCTCCTGTTCGGCCAGGTGCAGAATGTGAGAAATGTTTAATTAAAAAAAAAAAAAAAAAAAAAAAGAGCAGTGGCTATTCTTCCAGAGATCCTGAGTTCAATTCCCAGCAACCACATGGTGGCTCACAACCATCTAATAATGAGCTCTATAATGAGATCTGGTGCCCTCTTCTGGCCTTCAGGCATACATGCAAGCAGAACACTGTATATATAAACTTGAAGGATGGGGGAGGGAAAAAGACACAAAGTTGGGTGGCTAAAGAACAGGGATGGATCTGGGGAGTTAGGGGAGGAGTTTAATATAATCCAAGCATATTATACAAAATGCTTCTAAAATAATAAGACTTTAAATAAGACTCTAAGAGCTCAAGGGATGACTCAGTGGTTAGGAGCACTGACTGTTTTTCATGAGGACATGGATTTGATTCCCAAGCATGCAGTTAACCTATTTGTCTTCTTGAAGATACCAGATGTAAGGTTGTTCCAAGACATATATGTAGGTAAAACACTCATATTCTGTATGAATAAATGAAAGGAAATCAACAAAACGAATTGTGAACCTGTTGGGGACATTTCAGATTTAGAATATAATATGAGGTAAGTGATGATGGACTTAAAAATGTGTTTTTCTCTTACATGTGTGCTTTATAAGTGAGAGGAAATGGAACCTTTGACAGCTCAAGTCTACTTCAAAAGGCTGAAATAAGAGTGAAATAAGGATAAGATGGAAGGTGAATGAATAATCTTGTCAAGTGGTAGAAACTCCCAAATAATGGAATTTAGCAGAAGCAGGTAGGAATACTTGTTTGAATGTCATAAACACCTCTGCTTGGAGGAGTGTAACATTCATTACAGGTCTTTTAGGAAATAAAGGATGTGAGGTCTGTGTAGAGGAAAATAATCAGAAGCAATGGCTTCCCTTATACAAAGGAAAAAACAAATCTGTTTCAAAGTCTAGAACCAGAACACTATTATTTTTATGTATTAAAAACAAGAAAGGAAATAGTCCACCAAATGAAGTCAGAGCAGGCTGGACATTTGTAAAGGTAACTGATATTTAGAGAGGTATTTTCAAACATTTTATGGCCACTTGAATTTTGTGAACCACAATTAAGCTCAGTGAATGTTGTTGGGGACAGCATTTCAATTACAAAATAAACATTATAAGCTGAACATGTGATTTTGTTTTTATAAGCCCTGAGTGTGTATTTGACATGAAATCTTCCATGTCTTACATATATGTAATACAGGAAAGCACTCTTTAATGAAGACCTGAAACAGTCTTGTTTTAGTGGGAAAAACTTAGCATCACAACCTCTGATTGATGAAAGCAACTGTGAGAGGCTCATCTCTCAGGACCCCCAGGCTTCTATGTGGCTACTCTTTTTTCTTCTTTTTACCCATGTTAGCAGTCTTATGGCAACATAAGAGGCAACATTTTGTGATGATGAATACCACAGCTGCCACACAGACCAACAGGAACCCAATAACATCCAGAGAGTGGTACTGGAACCAGGCAAGGTCATGCAGGGCTGGGCGAAGGTGCTTGGCTCCTTTGTTACGCATGACATACTCAATCCAGAAGATGGCTCTGTCCAGGGGCTTCACTGGTTGATCATGGTGGATTCTTGATAATTTCATGGCATTCTCTTTATACCTGAAGGGACAATGTGTACAACCAAAATGAAAATAAAACTAATATGCATAGATGCCTAACAATTTTTGGTTTGGGCAAAAGCCCCCCAAAGTGGCTAAAAATTAACCATGTAGATTTGCTGTGTTTCATGAGGAGGCATGGAGGACAGTTGAAGGACATGGTGGACAGTTTAGTGGTAGGGAGGAGAGGTGAGATCATCTTGGGTAGTAAAGGTTTGTTCCGAACTTGTCGTGTTGGTTATACTGTCCTTGAACTAGTTAATGAATGTCTCCATCAATTCTTTAACTGATGAGATTACCACCATGCACTGGGACCACAGTTATAAGTGCTGTCTCTGTTTTTGCTTTATTCCCTATAAGATATTCATTTTTAATTGGAGTTTTTGCAGCTCAGCAATATTTTCCAAATTGGCAAGAGAAAGTTAGTAATGGAAGCTAAATCTTTTCAAGTGAGGAACATGTAACACATGATATAAGACCAATAAGTGAAGTAGATATAGAATTGTCTTAAGCATTACAGGGGCAATGAGTCATGTTGGATATCCCCTCTTCAGTTTCAGTTTCTCCTCTTCTACCTCTGTTTCCTAATTTTAACCTATAACTAGATTCATGTTTTGAAAAAATTTGAATTATGATTCTTTCTTGCACCAGAATTCTCAACAAAATGAAAAAAATCAATTCTGTTCCTGGACATTGAGACTGTATGTAAGAACCAAAAGCATTTTCTCCTGTTTTTTTTTTTTTTTTTTTTTTTTTTGCCTCTGGACTTTCTGATTAGGTACATTTGCTTTCTGGTAAATCTTGACAATACCAATGGTTTTCTCTGGGTATGTTATGAATTTAATATTGTTTCTCATTCCAACATGCTTGCTTTTATCTCATTGTTTAGGCCTTAACATAAATTTCAACTGACATAGGTTCTTTTGCTGACACCACTGACTTGAAAGCCTTGGATGTTGGCTATGAGTTCAGTGAGACTTAATATTTATTTTAGAGTAATAAAATGACCTAAACTATTCTAAGCACTTTTGAAACCTCATATAATTGAATTTAGAACACATTTGTCATAGCTAGTCACCACAGCTTCTATTGCAATGTTGGTAGAACAGTCCTTTTATCTGAGCATTTGGGAGGTAGAGTCAGCAGGATCTCTCTTAATTTGAGGATAGCTCAGTACTGCAAAACGAGATCTTATCTAAAAAAAATAATGAGCCGGGCATTAGTGGCACACGCCTTTAATCCCAGCACTGGGGAGGCAGAGGCAGGTGGCTCTCTGTGAGTTCGAGGCCAGCCTGGTCTCCAGAGCGAGGGCCAGGATAGGCTACAAAGCCACACAGAGAAACACTGTCTTGCAAAACCAAAAAAAAAAATAATGATAGAAATAAAATAATTTTCACCAAACATTTTACAGCTTCAGAAAATATGGGCAAATATTTAAACATTCCTTCATTAATTTTAAAGTATATGATTATTTCATTATGTATATTCTGTCATATTTATAAATAGTGTCCTTGTTACCAATAGATGTACATTTGAAACATTATTTATATATACAGTAAATTTTCAGACTAATAATTTTTTCATTTACTCTATGAAGTCAAACATGAATTTAGAATAACCTTATTGTTGAAAATGAGTACATGTTTCAGATATGCAAAATAATTTGAAGTTTTTCACAGTTATTCTTCTTCAGATAGGATTAAAATCACTATGATAATGGTAAGAATCTTTCTATTAGTATTGTTAGAGAAGTAATTATATACACAAACCGTGATGGCACAATCTTTCATTCCAGCATTCAGTTGGTTGAAGCAGGCAGATCTGTATAAGTTCAAGGCCAGTCTTGTGGTTATACAGTGAGACCCTACCTAAAAAAAGAAAAAAATAACTCAAACAAGAAATATTTATACTCACAAAGGGTCATTAATGACAGTCCTCAAGGCAGTGAGAAGGTTTGTAGTTGACAGTGTGTTGAAGTCCACTCTAACAGCTGCTCCCTTGGCTACCAGGTGATGAATATTATCTGCTTGATCCGCAAACAATGGAATACCAACAATAGGAATGCCATGGTAGATCGCCTCATAGACGCCATTGGTGCCACCATGAGCTATAAACGCTTTGGTTTTTGGATGACCTACAATGAGAATTATTTTACATAATCACTGATATTAAAGAGAAGTGAAATATAAAGGTTCAAAGGGGACTGTACTCATAGATCACATATTATAGCCAAAAATTTATAGTGAAATTGCTTTTGACTTTCATAGCAAGAAGCTCTTAAGTGGAAGCAGAATGTTGTATATATAATAAACAAACAAATAAATAAATAATAAAAAGCATAACAGGCATATGAAATGGAATCAGCAGGCTGTATTTATATATCCATATATATGTACAGATTCAATAATAATAATCAAGGAGAAAGAAAAAAGGGGGTGATTGGGCAGGAAGATGGCAGATCTGAGAGGAGTTAAGAAGATAAGTGCAGTTGATGGCTTAATTTGACTGAAATATATTGTGTGAAATTCTCAAAGAATTTATTAAAATATCACATTAAAATTCAAAAGGCAAAAAGACTATTTATGTGGAAATAGTTGTGGCAGTGGGTCTGGTATGTGTGGTGTGTCTAGGATAGTGGGTAGTGGGATTGAAGGCCAATCAAGCTAAAATTCATCACGAAATACATTAGCACTTTGTGGTAAAGATAGTACATTTGTTTGCACAGAAAATACAGAGTTAGTGGTGAAGCAGGAGGGGCTAAGATTCTCAGTGGCATTGCAAATATTCCTGTAGTAGAACAAAAGATAATGAAAAGTAAAAAAAACAAGAGATAAAGGGACAATTTATGCAGTTTCCGGACAATTATTGGGGCAGTCATTATAGCTGAACTGAAGATACTCAGATTCTAGACACAGAGAAAATCATTTCAGACAGCACTTATAAGTCATTATTTTCCATTCTGTATTTATGAGAATAAATACAAATGAATTTGCTTTTTTTTTACTGTCTTCAAGATCTGTTGTTCCCTTTGTTTTCTTTCTTTATTGATCTCTGTCTTACCGAGGAGGTCGTTCTGGGGTATCCACTTGTAAAGCCGAGTATTGGATCCTAAGGTGTCTGGTTTCTTACCTTCAAATCTCCATACAACCTGTTACACACAGAAAATGCCTTATTTGAATACAGATATTCCAAAGTGTTGATATATTTTGATTCAGGATAATTGAGATTATTAAGTTGTACATTGCCCAGATGATTGCTAATGAAATTGAGAGAGGATTTTAAAATAGCATAAAAGACTGAATAAATAATATATTTTCTGTACATGGCTTTATAATAACTTAAGCATGATACTTCATCATATTTATTATTTGTTTTACAGATCTGATGATTACTGACAAATACGAGTATACATGAAAGTTTCAGGCAGTTAATATAATCCTGATAGGGAAAGTTGTAGACAATTAGTAGTAACTTATGAGTATGTATATATTATGTATAACCCTATCACTTATTTTATAAATTCAATATTAATTTATATCTTTTTGAGTCATAGGCACATAATTTTACCTATATTCCTATCATTCTTAGGCTGGTCATTATAATAGGTTTATTTTGTTGCATAAAATATCATATTGACATAGTATACTATTATTAGAAATATTTTCTTTCTTACTAGGAAGTGTATTTATGTAGTTTCAGATGTACCTTTTAGGACTGCCCAAGGAAAAACATCAATAGGAATTTTTAAGCATGGTTTCTATTGCTCTAAATACATTTCATGTTTAGTACCAAACTAATTACTGAAAAGGAAGCAATCCCCACAAACTGGAATACCAAATATCAATCTTCACTGTCTATATGCTCTGTGTTTGTTAAAATAAATTAAGCTTACATTAAAATTTTTATCTTCATGAACAGGAGAAATGGTTATCAAGTAATAGAGCAGATAGATGTAAGTCAGAAATGGCCAAAGACTGATGCTTTTAGAAAGTGAGTCAGTCATATAAAAATTTGTGGAGTTGGGAGCTGCTAGAGTCTTCCTATTCCATACTGACTTACACCTGAATCCATCATAAATTTCATTCTCTTTCCCCATCCAGAAAACGATGTTCACTAGGTTAGAAGTAGAGCTCATGTAGATGCATTCATAATTTTATGATCTGGGACTCACGTCAGGGTCAGGACCTATTTTCATCTTTTCTCTTACATTTTCCCACATCAGCCACAGGGAAGATCTTTTTTCCCCCTTCTTTTTTTAATTAATTAATTTATTATGTAAAGTGTTCTACCTGCATGTATTCCTGCATGCCAGAAGAGGGCACCAGATCTATGATAGATGGTTGTGAGCCACCATGTGGTTGAAGGGAATTGAAGAGCAGCCAGTTCTCTTAACCTGTGAGCCATCTCTCCACCCCTCTCCCTTCTATCTTTGCAAGCATTTGTTGTTCATTTTATGTATGTGGATGTTTTGCCTGTGTGCAATTCCGTGCATTATGAGCATACCATATGGAGACCTGGAGAGCATATTAGATTGTAGAGACTAAGAGACCTGCTCTGTCCCCTACCCAGTATTCCAAAGGTGAAATGCTTCTCAGAAGTAAAGGAGGGGTAAAAGTTTTCTATACTAATTTCACACACAATCCGAGGATCATGCTCTTTGTTTCCCGTGTTCTTTATTGTTCTGTTTCCACTATAATAATCCTGTCCTACTTTTAATTTCTCCATGCTGCTTCTTCTAAACTAAATGTGGTGATATCACAGAAACTCCATCTACAACTAAAACCCTTCTCATTCAGGAGCCTTGAAGTGATAAATAAATTTCTACCATTGGTCAAAAGTATGCTCCTAGAACAAGCAATAAGGAGCTGAACCGTTTACCATGGAAACACAAGGGTCCAAGGACTTACGAACAAACTTCGACCAGACAGTGGGGAGCATAGTGTCCAATGACAATTATGAGACACAGATCTATTGTGAGTAGACTGGAAAGTGAAGAATTGGCATGCTTTTCTTAGTAACATTGGTTGGGCACATGTGGCTCTGACCTTGTACATAGTTGTAAAGTTTTGAACTTATGATTTCTTTACAAAAGGTCTTTTTGAACTTGATAGTTTGAACTTGCTCTGAGGTGAAAGTGAGCTAATTGTGTGCAGTTAGCCTGAGCAAGAGAACAAGTCAGGTTGTTAAGAGTCCACGGTCCTTGTGGGACAAATAGATCCAGTTATGAAGCATGTCATATTCTATATGTCAAAATAATATATCTAAATGAAAAGTCATCTTCTAGGCCATCGACCAATATATGTGCCTAGCAGATAGAATATTTCCATGAAATAAACACACAAGGAGTGGTAAACACCCAAAGTAAGGGAAGAAAAGAAGTTCTTAGGGAAGAATAAAGTGAATCATGTGAGACATTACAGACAGGAGCAACTGGTTTCCACAGCCAGTGACCCCCACAGTTTTGCCAAGTGGGTCTACCTCATCAGGAATCATGTATCTCATGGGTCTTCCTGTTAAACATTAGTTAACAAACACCTGCTGTATCTCTCATGACCACTGATATTAGATCCTCTCGATCTTGAGCTGGGAACAGTTGCAAGTTTCTATTAAGTGATAGCAATAAAACTCAGCCTCTCTGGAATTTCAGCCAGTGCTCTTAACCATTGAGTTGCCTCCCTATCTCCAGTATAATATAATATTTATCATTATTTTCTTTTCTTTTCTCTCCCTTCCTTCCTTCCTTCCTTCCTTCCTTCCTTCCTTCCTTCCTTCCTTCCTTCCTCTCTCTCCTTCCCTCCCTCCCTCCCTGTCTCCCCCCTTTCTTTTTTACTTCTTTTTTCTTCTCACTTCTTTTGAGATATGAACAATACACTGCATAGCTCAGGAGAGCTTGAAAATCACTATGAAGTATAAATTTGTTTTAAATATGAGGAAAAAGACACCCTCAGGTCTCTAAGTGCCAAGATGATGATCTGAGTCTAGCCTTTTAGATCATAATGTTAATCAGAACCAGACAAATATTTTATCCTCTTCAATTTATAATTTTCTTTTTAAAATGCTGTTTGGAGATGAATAGGAAAGATCCCATCATTTTGATTTTTACACAGGAATTTTTCCTACTCAAATCCTTTCAGAGTTCTACAGACTTATAATACAATTGTCCACTTAGTAGACAGTTTTTCTCACCTTTTGTGGAATCTGGGCAAGAGCAGATGCAACTATATTGGCTTTTTCATCTGTCAAGTTTTTAACCATTGAACCCAGTGAAAACACCACAACACCATGTTCTCCAGAGCTCTGAACAAATTCTTCTATTTCTCACAAAGACAGATGTGACATCACAAATGAATGACAGCATAGGAAGCATTGTCTGAAGGACTGAGACAAACTATGAGAGGAAATCATGTAGTAACTGGAATTATCTTAAGAAGACCAGTGTTTCCTTGCCACAGTACTCACTGTTCATTGAGAATGCATTTGTACTATTGTGCATTTGACCAAAATAAGTAAAGAGACAAAAAGTAATATGACCAGAGATCCATTGAAATTTAGGTGACCATTATGAAGTATTTTAAAAACTACACAAAGAGGGGGCAGAAAGATTGTAAGAGCTGAAAGGAATGGAGGACATCCCAGTGCCCCCAGACACAGTAGGACTGATAAAAACATAAGCTCACAGAGACTGTGGCAACATGCACAGGTTCAAGCCAAATGAGGTTCCAGCACTGAGAGCTGAAAATAGACACAGACCTACTCTTCTAACTAAGAAGCTGTTTGCATTGATACCTAATACCAAAGGAGAAAATCAGCTCCCTCTAATGGAGTGTCACTGGGTAAATCAATCATATCCCAGATCAGGACCCATGTCCTGGAGTACTTGGTCAACACAAAATAAACCCTGTGATTTTTTTCTTTTGCGGGCTTTGTCTTTCAGTTTGTTTTGCTTGGGCAATTTTTTTGTTCTTAATTTTTTAATTCATTGACTCTTTCTGATTGAATTTAAGAATTGCTCAACAAAATGAAACCAATACCTCACACTACTGTCTGACATCAAGAACCTCTAAATGGATAGCTCATAGGATTCAAAAGCCAGTCCTATTCAACTAAATTGACAGTATCAAACTCACTTCTAAGGACTTATCTACGTACCTAGAGATTAATTCAATTCTCAGTCCTCATCAGAGAAGTTCTTATTTGCAACTGGTTATGATTATTACAGAGAACCACAGTGGCAAGTTGCATAGAATTAGAAGACATGGAATGCTCAACTCTAAATGAAATATCTATATCACCCATCTTTATCCCAAGACTCAGGATCATTGCAGAAGAGGGCTTAGAAAGACTGTGGAAGCCAGAGGTGTTAGATGCCTACGTGGCAACAGTGTCCTTCAGATGCAGCAGGCTAGTGCAAAAATGAACTCCACTGTTTACAACAGCATGCACAAGTCCCGTGCAAGCTCAAGCTAGAGAAGATCATAGCAAGGAGAGTAGAAATAGACACAAATTTCTATCCTTAGTTGAGGAGCCATCAGCAATTGGTAGCTGTTTTAAAGATATGGCCCTTGGGGAGCTGACTACCCCCAGTGGAAGGCCATGCACGAAAGGGTACATGGGCAGCACAAATTTCACTAGAAGAATGAAAAAAGAAAAGAGAACACAAAATTAGATTGGTTAAGGATGGGAGGTGGATTTTGGAGAAGTTGGGGAGAGCTGAATATGGTTAAAATATGTATAGAATTGTAAAAAAACCAGTAAAAAGCAAACTGACACATTGACCAAGTATGAGAAATAAGCTTACAATCTCCCCTAATCCTAATAAAGGTACACAAATTATACACAGCTCCTTTTAATAATACTGCACGTACAGGTTGAAGCTACCATTTCTTACTCTTAAAATTTTACTAAAAATGAAAATTTGTGAAGCATTCTACAAGAAATTTACTCAAAATGGATAAAAGATATAAATATGGGAGCTGAAAGTTCAAATCACTTAAAGAAAACCCCATGGCATTGAAAAAGACAATAATTTATTGATTGGAATCCCATCAGTCCAGGAAAATAAATTGGGAATTGACAAATGGGACTACTTTATAGTAAAAGTTTCTGAATAACAAAGAAACCTATCATCAAAATGAATAGATTTTTTAAAACTGCGAGAAAAATCTGAAAACTTTCCCAGAGTGTAGATGAATTAAACAATGCTAACATCAAAAGAAAAAATAATTCATTCAATATATGTAAGTTATCCAGAAGGGATCTTCCTTGGTAGAGGTATGAGTAGCCTATAATTATATGAAAATTATTCTAATTTTAGTTATTAGAAAAATTCAATTGAACATATGTTGATAATCTATCATAATCCAGTGAGCATAAATGTCACAAAATTAAAGCAATAGCAAATTCTCTCATAGACATGGAAATTGAATATTATGTATCTATTGCAGTTAGAAATGTAAAATGATGCCATTTTGCAAAACACAAGGAAAGTTCTTCATACAATTAGCTTCAGCTCTAAATGTACAGTTCAGTTATGCCATTCTTTGGTGACAGATCTAAGGGAGATAGTCACAAGGAAAAAAAGTACACATACTGATGTTTATTATACCACTATTCACAATGCCCCAAATATATAATTAGCTTAGATAGTCTTCAACTGACAAATGTGTAAAGAAGTCTTGGTATATATACATAATTGTTTTTTACCCAGATATTAAAAATATGGTTATATAACTTCAGGAAAACAGCTATTAATTAGAGGACACCATGTTAAGCAATTAGCCAGACACAAAAAGAGAAGGCTTGTTTTCTTTTATAAGAGGAAAATACAAAGACACAAACAAAATACCAGCAAAACATGACTGTAGAAAGACTATAAGGAACTGGGGAAAACAAGAGGGAGTATGAAGAACTCCTAAATGTAGATTTCTAACACTGTCTGCTTGGTCATCTTCCTGCTTAGCTGGGTGTGAAGTTTATGGCAATGGTTCTTGCAATTGTCTGTCAGTTTTTCTCCTTCTCCCTTTCACTCTCTCATCTAACCCTGAACACCAAAAGGGTCGTTGTACCTATGCAAGGGTTCTAGGACAGTTCCTGTGACCTTTGTTGTAAATTTCTTCAACATATCTGTCTTTCTCTGGTAACACAATATACAATATTTATTTATATTATATACAACATTTCTTCATTCTTATAATCTGGTCAAGTAGATATAAATTCTCTTTGTTAGAGAAATTTATTTTTGTTTCTTTAGATTTTCAACATATGTCTTTGTCATTTACTATAGTTTTTGAATAGAATATTAATTGTTTTTATGAGTTACATAAAGGACCTTAATCACTGAACACATTCCAAAATGATATGACAGTTTGCTTAATAGTAGTGAGACAGAGAAGTGTTAAAAGTATGGAAATAATGTATATGTCAGTTGGCAGAGAGTTCTAATTTACTTTCTATATTTCTCATGACACCAAACATGCTGAATGAGCAGTGAGGAATTGTTTCCATGAAAAAGGCAAAACAATTTATCAAATGAAACAATATAGGGTTACCTTAGGCAAGGATTTGGCTGGTTTACAATGGAGTCCTCCAACAAAATCAAAGTTAGGTAAGAATGGGTGGGGAAATTCCAAGTCCCAGTAGGTTCGAATGAGCCATATATCTGCTTTCCCCATCATCTCATATAATGTTGTGGGTCTCCCTGCATCACAAAAAACAATGCTGAAAGATTTTGTTTAGCATATAGCATGTGATTTCTGGAGATGAATTGAAATAATGTAGACAATAATTTAAAATGTTTTCCTTAGTGCTTCATAATATAAATATATTAGTACAAATTTGAATTTGTGTAAAAATTACATTGTCTCCCAAAATTACAACAATAATTTCAAAGTTCTTTGACTGCTTCAAAGAACCTTGAAAGTAAAAAAAACAAGCTTCTATAAAATATTTAGTCAAGCTTATATATTTTAGAAACTTGTTTCTTGATCTTTAATTTTTCCAATGCATTGTGATAATCCATAAGGTATGAATAAATTCCTTTTAGATACTTCTATACTGGGTCCATCATAAGGGACTATTATTACGAGCAGTTGTATATGTGAAAGTTACAGCTGGATACTTTCCATAAAAATTAACATTAAATACTTCTTATTCTTAATTTAGGTGTTATTTTACTTAATAGAAAGGTATTTTAAAAAACAAACCAATACAAATGTTTAAATTTTGCTGTGAAGTTTTAGGCTTTAAGTAATAAGTTTTGTGCTTCTTAAAAGTCTTAAACTGCAAGAAAAGTATGTTCCCTTGACTGTTTCTGGTGTTAGAAGTATGGCTTAGTTGTGAAAGACCTTTCATGATATTCTAGATAAATGTTTTAATTTACAAGTGAAATAACTTTTATAAGAGAATATATTTTCTTCAGGGCTATACAGATAGCCATGGTAGTGAATTATGAGTCTTTAATGCATATATCTATAGTCACTAAAGAGTTCTATTGGTTTCTTACACTAAGACAAACAGAATAAGTCAAATGATTACCAAGATTGTCTCAATTTGCATGGTTAGTAAATTTCTGAATAGTTCTAAACAACTCCAGAGTGTTCTGCCTTGTATTGAGGCTATTTGGTTTTCTTCTATTTTTACTTTACCAACTCACAACTAGCAACCTCATTCTGTGACTTTATGTTCATCCACACACATTCACATTCAAAGAAGCATCAAGTCAGGATTTTACTGTGTAGGAAAGACAGTTTACCTAGAACATCACTGTAAAACTGACTCCAGGTCTTCACGTTTAATGCTTGAAACCAAAAGTCAAAATACAGCACATGCAACATATTCTTCACCCTTTCCACAAATGTCATGTGGTCGGTTAATTCTGAGAGAACCACAGGAACATAAGAAGGTGGGAGTGGAAGCCCCCCGCTGTACTTTTCATATGTGTATCCAGGAAAGAAGCGGAGACTGTACACTAAAGGTGTCTTCAGAAGTTCAGCCAGCAGCTCACCACAAGGGCCAATAGCATCTGCGAGAATGACATCAAACTTAGATCCTTGGAGTTTTTTCATTAGACTCTTGTTCCAAACTACAGCTTTGCAGAAGCTTTCTATAACGTCAGAATATTCACTAAAGACTCGTTGCATTTTTGAATAGTATGTCCAAAGTGAGTGTTTTTGAAAATCATAAGTCCATTCATTTACCCATTTTTGAAAAAAATATTGAAGCTCATCTTTACTCAAAGGTACAGGGTAAATCTCAAAATTAATAGAAGATTCAGTGCCTGGCTCAATAAGAATGGAAGCTGAAGAAGTCAGAACTGTCACTTCATGACCTCTCTGCAAAAGTTCATCTAGAATCATCTTTATGTTGATCCAATGGCTGTATTCAGTGGGCCATACCAGCACTTTTCCACAAGTTACAAGTCTAAAGTAGCATATCAGCTGAATCAACAGTAAAACTGATCTCTGCTTCAATGACATCTTGGTGAAATGGAATGCTCTTGACACCTGTCATTCTTTGCAGATTGTCATGCTTTTATGAGAAGGTGAATCAACTAAGAAGTTAACATATAACTTCAAAATACACCAATGAATTGCAACTCTGGTGGTGTAATGTCATGTGTAAATACACACATGGAATATGAACTCCAGGTTAACAAAGTTTGTTTGGCTCACCTTTTTGTTTGTTACCTGATATTACTGAGCTAAGATCAAACACTTCCCATGTGCAATTATCTTGTCCTAAATATAAAATGCATGAGTCCCCCTATTTCTTACATAAAAACAAAGATCAAACAAGAGTGTGGGTAGGTCAGTATTTCTTAGACATTGGTATTTTTTAAATTTTGATTATGTACATAATGCATTAAGTTATGTTCAAAAAGCTGTATTTCCTACTGGAAGGAGGAGAAAGTCCTATAATACTTACAAAACCAAAACCAAAAAAATCTTACACTATGTCTCTTCAAGATATATAACACACAGTTACTTGGACTTGGAAGCTCTTTGGTGGACATATCTACAAGGGTGTACTCTTTAGGTTTCTATTGACATGATAAACATCATGCTAAAATCAACTTGGAGAGCATGGGAAATATTTCAATTTATAGTTGTAGTTCATTATGAAAGGAAGTTAGGGCAGGGACCTGGAGGCTGGAAATGAAGAAGAGACCTCAGAGGAAAAATACTTACTGGCTTATCCTGATGGATCTCTCAGTTTTCTCCATGTTATATACAGGACCACCCAGGGATGACAGTAGTCACAGTGGGATGGGCTTTTCTAATTATTCATCAAGCAAAAATGATCCACGTGACAGCATGATCAAAGCATTTTCTCTATAGAGGTTCCCTCTTCTTAGATGACACCAACTTGGGTCAAGTTGACTAAAAACTCACTAACACAAAGTGATACAGGGAACTCAAGCAATGCACCTTTCCTAAGATTTTACTATGGTGGGTGGGCCTTTCAGATATGCAGACTTCTATGCTCTTGTAAATAATCAGTAGGCAAAGTTTTCCTGCCTGCAGCTAGTCTCAAATAATCACTCAGAGGCTTATATTAATTACAAATGCTTAACCAATAACTCAGGCTTATTACTCACTAGCTCTCTTTTTTTAAAATAAATTTTTATTTAAATTAAAAGCAATCTTATTTTAGATACCAATCCCAATTCCCTCTCCCCCATCCTCCCATGCCTCCCACCAATCCCCCATCTGACTCTCCAGGGAGGGTGAGACTTCCCATGAGGGATCATCAAAGTCTCTCACATCATTTGGGTCAGGACCTAGGACCTCCCCCATGTATCTAGGCCGAGAGAGTATCCCTCTATTGGAAATGGGCTCCCAAAGCCAATTCATGCTCTAGAGATATATACTAGTTCCACTGCCAGAGGCCCCATAGACTGCCCAGGCCTCCCAATTAACACCCACATTCAGGGGCCTGGCTCAGTCCTATCTTGGTTCCCCAGCTGTCAGACTGGGATGTGTGAGCTCCCACTTGCTCAGGTCTGTTGTTTCTGTGGGTTTTCTCAGCATAGTCTTGACCCCTTTACTCATCATTCCTCCCTCTCTATAACTGGATTCCAGGAGTTCAGCTCAGTGTTTGGCTGTGAATCTCTGCTTCTGCTTCCATCAACTACTGGATGAAAGGTCAATGATAGCATTTAAGGTAGTTAACAGTCTCATTATAGGGGTAGGGCATTTAAGGTAGCTGCTTCACTATTGCTTAGATTCTTAGTTGAGGTCATCATTTTGGATCTCTGGCCATTTCCCTAATGCCGTATTTCTCTTTAAATGTATATTGGAACCCTCTATTAAGGTATCTCTTTTTTAGCTCTTTCTCTCCATTCCCCCCCTGCCCCAACTCAGTCTTCCTAATCCATCAATTTCTCCTCACCCTTCCCTTCCTCTTTCTTCTACCTCCCTCCCCACTTCCCCCATGCTCCCAATTTGCTCAGGAGATCTTGTCCCTTTCCCCTTCTGGGGGGACCTTGTATATCTCTTTTAGGGTCTCTGAGAAGCTAGAGATTCTAGAAAAGCTGGTTCAGAAGAGCTAAATGTTGGGCATATTGAAGAATCTACCAGCTCTTGGAATTCTCCTGTATTTGTTACTAAAAGAAATCAGCAAAATGAAGAATGCTTACAGTCCTGAGAAGCATCAATAAAGTAATTCAGCCAATGGGCTCTCTACATGCCCTTGCCTTCTTTGATACCTAAAGAATGGCCTATTATAGTTATTGACTTAAAAGAGTGGCTTTTTCCACTATGCCTTTACAAGAAAAAGATAGGATAAAATATGCTTTCTTAGTGCCTATTCTCAATAATTCTTAGTCACTCAAGAGATATCAATAGAAGGTCTTCCCACAAAGAATGCTAAATAACCCCACCCTTTGTCAATGTTTTGTACACAAACCATTGGAAATAATTCATAAGCATTTCCATAATCTATAATTTACAATTATATGGATAATATTTTATTGACCTACTCTAAGGCAGAGACATTAGAAACTATGTTCGAGGAAGTAAAGGAAGTTTTACCTCATTGGAGATTACAAATTGATCCTAAAAATATAGAGAGGAGATTCTATTAATTAGGAAATAAGTCTACAGAAAATTAGACCACAGAAAGTACAGATCAAGAGAGATCCATATCAGACTCTTAATGATCTTCAAAAATTGCTAGGAGAGATTTCGCAGCTATAGACCATTATTGGAGTAGAAGGACATGATCCAAAAAATGTGAAAAAAACCCTAAAAGAATACAAGGACTTAAGTAGTCCAAGAATACTATCAGATGGAGCTGAAAAGGAATTGGGATGGGTAGAAAAGAAAATATGAGAAGCACATGTGGATTGTGTGGATCCAAGCTCAACTGCATTCTTGTTATATTACCATCTAGGGAATACCCATCAGGGATCTTGATGCAGAAGAAAGATATTATATAGGAATGGATATTTCTACCACATGAACAGAATAAAAAAATTGACAAGATTTCTGATTTGATTTTAAAAGGAAAATTAAGACTCAATCAACTGACAGGAATGGACCCATCAGAATTATAGTACCTTTAAGTAATGAAGATATTTCTGCTTTATGGAATGATAAGGAATATTTGCAAAGGATTTGTAGGAATTTGGGGAAAGATTTGCAACAATTATCCCAAAAGAGGGAAAAAATTAATAAAAAACCATTTAGATACTTCCACACATTGTAAGGAAAACACCAATCTCTAGAGTTCCTATGTTCTACACTGATGCAAACAAATAAGGTAAGGAGGGATATAAATCAGTAGAAATGAGTAAAGTGGATCAAAGCCCTTATAACACTGTGCAAAATACAGAATTGTATGCTATCTCACGGTACTTAATGGATTTTACAGAACCTCTCAATATAGTTACCAACTCTCAATATGCAGAGAGAGAGAGTTGTCTTACACATTGTAATTGCTGAATTTATTTCTGATGATGCAGAATTAACTTCCTTATTATGTGATTACAAGAAATAATGGTAATAGGAATAATCCCATATGTATATATCATACATCAGATCCCATATGGGTCTGCTAGGTCCTCTAGCATAAGGTAATAATGAAAATGATTGAGTATTAATAGGAACTGTGTTAGATTCCTTAGAATTTAATAAAAACACCATTTGAATAGCAAAGGTTTAAAAAAAGGATTTTTCGGTCACTTGGCAACAAGATAAGCAAAAAAACGTGTTCAATTTCTTCCTTCTATAACCAACTCCTTTACCAGCAAAAAGTAAACCTAAAAGTATACATAGAAATGAAATTTGGCAAGTGGATGTGTTTCTTTTTGCAGAATTTGGAAAATTAAAATATGTGTATCATGCCATAGACACATTTTCAGGATTTCAATGAGCAACTGTTTTGAGCTGTGAAAGGGCTGATTGTGTAATCACACACCTTTTAGAAATAACGGTTTATTATAGCTATGCCTGTGCAAATAAAAACTGACAATGCTCCAGCATGTCTCTAGTGAATTGGAATAGTTTTTAAAATATGGTAACATAAAACATATTACAGGTATATCACAAAATCATACAGGACAAACAGTTATTGACAGATCTAATCAAACCTTAAATGGTATGCTGTATAAACAAGCAGGGGGAGCCAACCCTCCCAAAAGAGATTGCATAATGCCTCATTAACCTTGAATTTTCCTAATGCTAAGGAGAAAGCTATGGAAACACAGCTATGGAAAGACATTGGACAACAGAAAAAAAAAACCTCTGAACTAAATCAGCTGATGTACTTCAAGGATGTGTTAAACTCAGAAGAGAAACCAGGATATATGCTACATTGGGGAAGGGGTTTCACTTTTGTTTCTACAGGAGAAGAAAATTTATGGATAACATCAAAGCTAATCAAGAGTCGATTTGAACAGGAGAAGCATCTTGATGATGAGAAATGATAGCTCATCTGCCAAGGTAAATCTCACAAATTGTAAGGACACCTCACAAAAGTTGGGGCAGGGTTCTGGTCTTGTTTTGCATGAAAACAAAAAAGCCCCACCCATCTTCAAGAAGCCAAAAGACATTGGACATCTAGATGCCTAAAGAAGAAAAGCTGGCTGTGGCTCATTCTTTTAAATCCAAGCATGCTGTTAAAAAGGAAAATTCAGTTTCAGTTTTATATCAGAAGAGCAAACTGGTGTGATACAGAAGAGAACCAATCTCTGAACCGTGGCAGCACGAGAGACTAGGAAGCCCAGTGCAGCTCATTTCAGTGCATTTAGAACCCTTTAAAATCTTTTCTATGTCTTATGTGGATCCACACCAGACAGTGGGTACCATATGTAGGTGGAGTTTTCTTGTCCCACAGCCTTTCTCAAATAATCACTCAGAGGCTTATATTAATTACAAATGCTTAACCAATAGCTCAGGCTTATTTTTCATTAGCTCTTACAAATTAAATTAATGCTTATTTCTTAATCTATGTATTGCCATGTGGCTCATGGCTT